CTTGAGGTTATCTTGAGATGATTTCGGGGCTTTAGTGTCCCCGCGGCCCGGTCCTCGACCAGGCCTCCACCCCCAGGAAGCAGCCCGTGACAGCTGACTAACACCCAGGTACCTATTTTACTGCTAGGTAACAGGGGCATAGGGTGAAAGAAACTGTGACGGTAAAGCGTTGGTGTTCGGCTGTTTCAAACATAACCAGCTAGGGGCAGGGCCTCGTCACATAAATGTGCAAAAAAACAACGACACATGAAAAGCTGGAACTTTCGTCTGTGTGGAATAAGGTAATGTTGGTGAAGACACACAAAAAGAAAAAAAAAGAGAAAAGCTGGAACTTTCGTCTGTGGTAAGTAAATTTAACAATGAAATTTTAATTACGTTAGAAAAGCAAGACATGAATAAAATTGGGCATAAAATGTAACAGACAAGTCAACAAACAAAATAATAAGAATAATCACTGGCAAATGAAAAGTTACGTTAAGACAAGTGAATAATAGCAAAGTAAATATTAGTGCCGGAATATTGGCTTCGAGCTGCCACCTCCCTTAGTACACGTAAGCCAAGGCTTAGTCTACCAATGAGACGTGTCAACTGCAAGGAGCACTGGGATATTCTGCCTTCTCTGGGTCGCTGTAGCCCAGACATCAACTCGTGGCGGAGGGTGGTGGGGCAGGTGCGACTGGACACCAGCCAATCAGCGACCGGCAGGCGATGGACAAGCAGTTTGCCGGTTAACGGTGGCGGGGGCGAGCAGGTGCGCTGGATACGTTTTGCTCTCTGGGCAAAACGTTTTGGAGATACTTGTTGGATATATCTTCTATATTATTTGTTGATGTGACGCACTTTGGAGGGAAGAGCAGGCTCAATCTCTCTTGAAAGAGATTATCGTCACAATATATATAGTCTTAACGGCTTGGCGCTTTACCCTTGATAATTGCCTTCCCTAGCTGTGTTGTCTTAGTCAGAGACCGGGCCACCAGCTGACCGGGCCCCGGCTGACCCAATGCCAAACTAGCCAATTGGGTCGTTTAAGTCTTGGGTTCAATATCATTAGTATGTTTGTAAACTATGGCAGGAAGTCCCCCCCCCCCTTACCATACACAGCCCATAGTGGTGTATTTTACTTGTATACAACATCGGGGAGTGTATTATACACGAATACAACATGGGAGGAAGTGTATGGTAATGTATTATAGACGAATACAGCATGGGGGAAGTGTATGGTAATGTATTATAGACGAATACAACATGAGGGGAAGTGTATGGTAATGTATTGTATACGAATACAACATGCGGGGAAATGTATGGTAATGTATTATAGACGAATACAACATGCGGGGAAGTGTATGGTAATGTATTATAGACGAATACAACAAACAAGAGACAACTGTTGGCTGTTGTATAAACATTCAACACGGGGGGGGGGATGTATGGCAGAATACTGTATGCCCAACAACTCCCCCTCCCCCCCAGAGCCAGGGGGGGGGGTGAGACGGGGGAGGGAATCATACACAATGATCACACACACACACACACACACACACACACACACACACACACACACACACACACACACACACACACACACACACTGGAGCAAGTGGTATACTACACACACATACAGGATATACATCCTTTGGAGGGGGTGTATTTGCAGGGAAGGGGGGGTGGTGGGGGAGCATGAGGCGTCAGGAAGCCTACAGGGAGAGAATGGAAGAGGAACCCGACACAGGAGGAGGAGGACAACAGAATGATGGAGAGATTATGTGGAGGTTGAGGATTGATTTTCTCCAACAACTGAGGTCTTACAGCTGGTGCTTCTTGGCAACCTTCCCTCTCCCTCTCTCTCTCCCCTCTCCCTCTCCCACCTGGTGACCTTCGCACACACACACACACACACACACGCACGCACGCACACACACACACACACACACACACACACACACACACACACACACACACACACACACACACACACACACACACACACACACACACACACACACACACACACACACACACACACACACGCTAACACTCCTCCCGTATTTAACTTGGAAGATGGACAGTGACACTACCCCCCCCCCTCTTCCCACCTGTCAATACCATCCAGTCTGACACGTGTCTCACCGTGACCCTCTGTTTCCAGCCCGATAGGCACTCCTTGACCCAATTCTGTGTCGTCCTAGCTGGGCCCCTCTCCGTCTCTGGCGTAGAACTGACGCCTCTCAAATGTGTCTTGAAAGACAAGCCATTCTTACTGGGAATTCTTGCTTGATCTTGGAACACTTTTCCAAGGATTGCAATGTTGTTGTTAAAGATTCGCTACCTGGAACAAAAAGTTCCAAGTAGCACGGGCTATGGTGAGCCCGTAGGGCCGTATGGTTAAGGATTGCACGCCCACTTTGCAAGGATCAGATTTCGACAGGATTTAAACTGTCAACAAACCACGTGTCTGCCTCAGAAGAGCCTAACTACACTATTTAACTAACCACTTAAGACCTGCACAAGATGATCAAACCAGCCTGATAAACCAGGCTGTGACTCGTACGTCAGGCTGCGAGCAGCCGCGTCCAACAACCTGGTTGACCAGTCCTGCAACGAGGAGGCCTGGTCGAGGACCGGGCCCTGGGGACGCTAAGCCCCGAAATCATCTCAACGTAATCTCAAGGTAACAATGTTTAAACCAGAATTCCTTTGGTCGCTTCTAAACCGTATTAAAAAGCCACCCGGAGAATACAGAACGGATATCTCCATTATCCGGCTCTTTATTTCATTATCCGGCTCTAATGATATACATATAGCCCTCCTTACGCCGACGGGTTCACCATAGCCCGTGCTACTTTAACTTCTTGTTCTTAGTAGCTGAATCTAAAAACATCATCCCAACGCCACTACCACGCACATGCGGCGAGGATCAACATCCCCGCGGCCCGATCTCTGACCAGGGCAGCTGGTTGGTGATCTGGTCAACCAGGCTGTTACACCCCGCAGGTCGCAGGCTGACGTTGCAAGCGCATCAATATTGTGTCCCTATTCACAGACCTTGCAATAAATATATCTTCCAAGCTCTGAGATAGTTAACATGGGAGAACTGTGTTGACTAATCTCTCCCAGCTATGTCTTGAGGTTACCTTGAGATAATTTCGGGGCTTTAGTGTCCCCGCGGCCCGGTCCTCGACCAGGCCTCCACCCCCAGGAAGCAGCCCGTGACAGCTGACTAACACCCAGGTACCTATTTACTGCTAGGTAACAGGGGCATTCAGGATGAAAGAAACTTTGCCCATTTGTTTCTGCCTCGTGCGGGAATCGAACCCGCGCCACAGAATTACGAGTCCTGCGCGCTATCCACCAGGCTACGAGGCCCCCCAACAACAGTTTTTGTTTGACAGTTTCAACACAAAAGCCCCATACTGGAACAAGACCAACCCCGAGGATATAAAAGTTCAAATATTTACTCCCAACTCAACAAAAGCCGAGACATTTATTTCATAAACAAAAGCAAATAATGAACTATAATAGAAGGCAAAAAAAAAGCAATACAATTTTCCATCCTTTTATAGCATTTTTTTATGTTCTGTTAACGTGAGCATTTTTGTGGGAATTAAATGTATATATGATTTTTTTTTAAACACAAACACACACACATCTGGAAGACAGAAGAGTTAGGGGGGACATGATCACCACATTCAAGATTCTCAAGGGAATTGATAGGGTAGATAAAGACAGGCTATTTAACACAAGGGGAACACGCACTAGGGGACACAGGTGGAAACTGAGCGCCCAAATGAGCCACAGAGATATTAGAAAGAACTTTTTTAGTGTCAGAGTGGTTGACAAATGGAATGCATTAGGAAGTGATGTGGTGGAGGCTGACTCCATACACAGTTTCAAGTGTAGATATGATAGAGCCCAATAGGCTCAGGAACCTGTACACCAGTTGATTGACGGTTGAGAGGCGGGACCAAAGAGCCAGAGCTCAACCCCCGCAAACACAACTAGGTGAGTACACGCGCACTAAGGGTATGAAGAGCGACTGAAGGAACTGAACCTGACGACGCTAGGACAAATACGTTGACAACTGTCTTGACAACGTCTCCAGCCATGGTCTAAACCTACTCAGTCACACACACGAACGTTCTTGAGCGCGTTCGTGTCTAATGTGGCTGAGCGCGTTCCTTTGTGAGCTGCTACGTAGCTGAACGCATTCTTCCGCGCGTGACCAAGCGCGTTCCTTCGAGCGAGCGCGACCGCTCGTGCGCGCGGCCTTGAGAATATAACTTGGGGACGACTCAATTCCAAGATCAAAAGAGTAGGATGGGGTCGGGGTCGACCCCCCTTCCCGGGGTCAGACCCCCTTCCCGGGGTCAGACCCCCTTCCCGGGGTCAGACCCCCCCCCCTCTTTGGCCAGACCCCAGCGTCAATAACGCACTCCTTCGACGTCATAATACGTCGCATTTTTAACGGAATAGGGAGGGAAACACTGCGTTAAAAACTGCGACGTATAAGCACAGGTTAAAACGCCGTAATTCTGACGTTTGCTACGCAGCAGTTTCGATGGGTTAGGTGGGTTGCTTGGGTTGGGGCGTTGCTGGCTAGGCCAAACAGTTGCGTTTCTTACGCAGTGATCGACCGCTGCCTCATAGCATGAGGCTACCTTGAGGTGCTTCCGGGGCTTAGTGTCCCCGCGGCCCGGTCGTCGACCAGGCCTCCTGGTTGCTGGACTGATCAACCAGGCTGTTAGACGCGGCTGCTCGCAGCCTGACGTATGAGTCACAGCCTGGTTGATCAGGTATCCTTTGGAGGTGCTTATCCAGTTCTCTCTTGAACACTGTGAGGGGTTTGCCAGTTATGATTAGACATCTTAACTACCAATCCCAGTACACTAGGCCTACCAATCCCACAGTACACTAGACCTACCAATCCCACAGTACACTAGGCCTACCAATCCCACTGTACACTAGGCCTACCAATCCCACAGTACACTAGGCCTACCAATCCC